AAAGATGAGGGAGCAGATTATGGTTAACAATAGGACTTAGTGGCCCATTACCTAAGTGGACTTAGTGCTAGCAATGTACCTAGTCAGGTCCATCTTCACCTAGTCCCCAAAGAAACCATCGTGGTAAATTCTTGACCGAAGGCGGTCTCGGTGCTCTAGAGGTTTAGCACACCGCCTAGGTCCTATGGTCAATTCCTAACAATATTCCACATTACTAACAATCCCCTTTCCCTCCTGTTTTCTATAGGTAGAAAGAAAGAAAGAAAAATATTTTATTCAGTGCAATGTAAAAAATACAATATAAACAACAAACGAAAAAAAAAGAGCAAATAAAATATACATACAATTAAACTTAATTTACCATGTAGATAATTAAAAATAAACATAAAATAATCATTCTTTACATCCAAAAATGCACTGAAATGGCTCCACTCAGCTTTAATGTATGTCCTAGGTGAACATACAGCTGGTTTTCAGTGGCACCAAAAATATATATATAAAAGGGAGAGAGAGAGAGGGCACTATTTAAAATATTAATGATAATAATTAAAACAAAATTACAACTAATAAATACAAACCAATTACATATACTAGAAATAACAAAATAGAATAAAATAACATTAATAAATACAAACATATATATACAACTACTTTGCCGTAAGATTTATAGGTTAAATAGTACATAGATAATTCTTGTATAGTTTTTTAAAGGTGAATAATGATTTAATTTTCGGTAAGGTATGTATTAAAAATTTGTATATATATAAATATTTATATAAGTTATTTAGTACTCATAACACAAGCTCTGCTTAGCATGGGACTAGATGGCGATGTGTGACTTGTCTTGTGTTATTATTATTATTATAATGGGCTACCCAATCTTACTCCAAGCTCCTCCTACCATTCTTCAATGGTGCCCTACCAGCGTGACTATAGCTGAAAATCAATGTGTGCTCCTTGGGCAAACCAAACTGAGCTATGGCTACTTGCACTCCACAAGAAACTTTATATGTATTATTATTTTGTTTACTGATAAATGTACAAATAAATGATTTATCTATCTATCAAAATGTACTCGGAAAATGTGGGCAATTCAAGTATTACGTTCAAGACGTCACTTCACAGATAGTTGATAATGCCTCAGGCTGATTTCTTATTATTACGGTATTAGAAACTAAAAACAACCTATGTAGTTGTAGTAACAATAGCATCATCTCGACCCTTCACCCCGATCTGATTCTATCTACTTATTCATCTCACGAATCGAAAGCTCGTACAGTCCGTTTCTTCGTTTCCTCGTGTATTATGAAGATTGTTCGGTACTTACTAGTTACGTGAAGTACCTATAGTCTGTTTTTTAATCCCGGAGACTAAATTGACAGGTATAAATGTATTTTTTTTAAATAATGTTACCACTTGTAGTGGGATAGTACTGTACTGGAGATATCGATGTGTTTAATCGGAACTTTTTCTTATTCTTTTAACATATTAGTTTTAAAATTTACGTGACGTTTCCACAACAGATTTTCAATATTTATGTACTGATATTAGAGTTTCCGTTACTGTCGTTGTATTATACATACATGTATACCGTACATATACAAGTAGGTATTTTAAATAGGTGTATGTTATTAATTTAGTGAAAAATTTTAAAAATATTTTGATTCAACAACCATATATTTGTTAATACCTATACTTTATTAATTTGGCAATCATGCATTTAAATAAACAACTACGGTTTATTTCTAAGTAACCCATTTTTATAAATGGGTAATTTATATTAAATTCCGATTGGTCAAAATGACAGTATTCACAGTCTATATCTAATATTTTTATAACATCAAAATCCTTTGTCTGATCCCGGACAACGTCGCCTCCCAAATAATAGCGAGTTATTATAGGCTTGGTTCTGATTGTATTCAATTAAACCTTTCTATTGAATAAAGGACTTCATAATAAAAAAAATATCCATATTTTTGGCTACTTATTGAAGAACTGCTCTTTTTATCAAATAAAACTATGCAATACTAAAGGTAAAAAGTAAGATCATTGTCGATATCGCAGCTGGCTGAAGCAAATAAATAATTTCATCATTATTAATCTAAGTTCTAAGTGATCGGTACATAATTGATTAATGTAAATAATTATCTTTTCAAGTAAAAAAACTGAGAGTGTACGAGCAGTTGGATAATGAATGGACTCTGTAACAGATCACGATATTACGCTACCATCAATCTGAACAGTAACAGTAGCGACACGAAACCTCGCACCATTTCACGCCTCGCAACACACGTGTCAATGCCTCCATACATTCATGTTTTTTCCATCTCGAAAGTATTAACAAGATTCATCTTCTCTTTTATACATGTAGTACATTTTGTAAAAAGTCTGCGTGGATTGGATGGACCTTTCTCTCACCTATTTCAGTCGCCGAGCAGCTTGTTTTAATTTTCAGTTGAAGGTTGACATTAGATAGTGAAAATATAGAATAAGAGTACTACATCTAAATCCTTCTAAATAGCAATACGAGAGTAGTATCAAAAAAATCAAAGATATCAAAGAGTATTTTAAGACGAAGTATTCAATACTTTCGAATAGAATATTATAAACTTCGACAAATAAATGTAGAGATGTTTTTTTTGGCGACAGCTAGCCTCTACAGCTTCACCAGATGATAGGGGCGAGTGTAGATGGCACTCCAAATCCGTGGAAGGTCTTTAATCTAAGGGCACCGCTAGGGGATCGAACCTCGGCTCAGGCCGTCGTAATTTCGATCCCTGTTTGAATACTACGGGGACATATTGATGAAATATAATATTTTAGAGAAAAAAGACGTGATTATATAATGTAGCTTTTAATATAATATACATTAAATCATACACACATTAATATTGAAGAAAGTAGTTTCGCCTAAATTTAAAACTTTTTAGTAGATCAGATTAACATATAAGTCTCAATTTCTACGGTTATGAAAAGCACATCACAACCAACAATGTTAGAAGCGCGGTACCGAACCAACAATACCGGAAGCCGGCAAACGTCCTCTGCCTGTGATTTTTTGAGTGTTCGTTCCGAATGTAAAAAAATATGACTTTTCAAAAGGTCTTAATTTTGAACAAAATTTATTTAAAAGAGCAAAGCAAGATGATTCTTCTGATGACTCTGCTTTCTGATGAGTGGTAGAATGAATAGAATATGAATAAACATATTTTTTATATATATTCATTCGTTAACAACAGACCTTCTTTTGTAATAACCTTTTTTATTTTGGACCATGTTTTTGATATACAATTTTTAACTTTTACCCCTTCTTTATCTTATTAAGTTTGTGTCTAAAATAGACTCTTTTATTTTATGAGTCTATTTTACCATCAAAGTCTACCGTTGCTACCCGTATTAGTAGTAATTAAACTATTACGTTACACTAACTGCTTGAATGCAGTACATTTGATGGCTGGCAACACTCACATGAATGTCACTATCGCTATATACATTCCAAGCGCTCGCCGTCCATACTATGAGTCAGTTGGGCGTAAAAAGAATTTCTAAGGAATTGAAAGAAAAACCTCCTTAACGATGCCTATTTTAGGTGTTGCCACTGATTTATAATCGTTTATATGTCTTAATTAATATCGTCGTGTTTCTGTTTTACAGTACTTATAGGACATACTTATTTATAATTTTTTCTATCTATTACTACACCATAATATTATAAATAACCCAGGACAATTCACGCAGCGCCATCTAGCCCCAAGCTAAGTAGAGCTTGTGTTATGGGTACTAAATTACTGATATACCTACTGTAGTGAAACACGAGCTTGCAAGATGAATACTACTTTATTGACAGTTGAGGGTAATATTAAAAACATAAGCAGCAAACTACTCACATAATACACTACACCCACATAGATACATTTTTTGTATATACATAATATACATAAAAAATTCCCAGACTGATTCAAATAATCATGTCCAGGAATATAAAAGTCTGTACTGTAAAATTCAACATTTTTTATGTTAAGATTTCACGGCATTTACTGACCCTACACCTCGATTAGTATGCAAATAATACAATTTTACCTACGTTTCATAAAGAAGTTCCTTGCGTTTATAATTTTTGTTACTGTAAATGTAAAATCAATAAAAAATAACAAAAGTGGAAATAGCATAGGTTAATATAACCAATACAAAAATATAAAGCAGTAGAAATAACCATCAAAGGTTAATATAACAATAATAATTCGTCCGTGAAAGCTCTCTTCGCGATGATTATATAACGGTATTGAAAACCTAAGTACTGGATTACTCCGGTTTTACCTTAGAACTAACCCATAACTATGTTGTTTTATTGGTAGAAATAGAAAACTTGTAATTCGCGTAAGCCTATAAAAATATGTATGGAAAACACGTTATACGTAAACGTTAGCCAATTAATGTGGTCTCTGTATTCAAAGTAGCTTTATCAATTACGTTTCGTTTTCTAAACTTTTTCTATCTTCGTCAATGGCCGGTTGATGTTTACATTTAACCATTGTATTTAAGAAATAATTATACATATAATTATTATAATATTTTTAAGGCATATAACTGCATGGACCGGATGATGGTAACGAGCCGGGTGAATCAATTCTTGAAATTTTACGCAGAAAACAGAATGGCATATATACCATATTTCGTCTCTGCTCTGTTGATCTGCTGTAATTCCTAAGATGTCAGTTTATGTTAAAGAATTGAAAAGGTATTTTCAAAGTGGTTAAGAAAATATCTTTTTGCCACCCACTTTGAAAATAGCACTTGTTAAGATTAACAATCGAGTATTTCATTCGGCTCAATATATATTCAAAAGAGTTTGTAAAATCACAAAACCGTAATACTAAAATTCATTTAAGCAAAGCTTATTTGATTCAATTTTTATTATATTAATACTTTATTTACAATTGAAAAATCAAAGATTAAATTTAAAAACGATAATTATATTTTTGGCATTTTTTTATTTTCAGATACGGATACTAGTCATTATACAAATCATCAGAAAGGCCCGCTGTCAAGATGGATTTAGTAATCAAGATTTATTACGCCTACATGCTATGGTTACCAACGAAGGGCAAGGCGAATCCATCCCCAATTATAACACCAATGGTATACAGAGAGATCCAAATACCCAATCTGGGAACTCGGTGAATGTTCCTTACCATACAGAAGATCAAGCTGTAAATGAGGAGTACAATAGAGCTGATCGCGCCCGAAGTAGGAAAGTGTATCATATAAAAAATCCATTCCAGAATCAGGACAGTGAAATACACGAGGTAAATACTGAGACGCAAGACAGCGGCACCGCAGCTAGTAGCCAGTATGCAGCCATGCAGTATTCGCTACCGCCCGAAGAATTTCTTCAACAAATGAGAGAAAATCAATACTACCAACAACAACAACAACAACAGTTGTCTACCCCAGCTCCAAACACGGGGTACACAGCAACACCCCAGCCTTCTTACCAATATTCGACTATTTCCCCTAATTACGATAATAATAATCAGATATCCAATCAAATACCGCAACTTGAACCTAAAACATCCAATAATCCATCTTATTACCAAAATACTAACTCTTATCAATATGGCAGTAATTCATATTTAGACGGTGTTCAAAGTTCACCGTCTCCTGTACATCCTCATTTATCGAGTTCACTTCCTAATAATCAGTTTGTGAGTACACAATCTAGTGCTTACATTTCTAGTGCATCTCCGATATTTCTGTCTAGTCCTCCAAATTTACAACATTATATTTCATCACCAATGACGGATGTTCAAACAGGATCGTCTGATTATAGTAACAGAGTATCAACTGTTGGTTCCTTTAGTTATGACAACAATAAAGTTTCAGCAAATCCTTATGAGAGCTCTGGAATAAAATATCCGATGAATGTACAGCAATATCAAAGTGAACAATCATATTCCACTCCGAATCCATCGTCATCACCTTATTCTGAATTAACTCCGGATTCTTGGCATAGTTCAAATTCTGCTGTAAATACTTTATCGAAATCTATGCAAGATATGTCATTAACGCAATATCAGAATTATCCCTACAACAATAACCAACAAGAAATGAGATCAGATTCCGAAAGAACTGAAAATATGAATGGTGAAACACATCGTATTGGTAATATGCCAGCAGCTAATACTATGTTTATGAATGTGGTACCTCCAGAATATCAGTTAAATAATTTAAGAGCTCGAACTAGGGACGCAGAACAAGAAACAGCCCAAAGCTCCATTTATTCTCACGGAGATTTTGGATGGAAGCTCGCTAATAAAAAAATACCAGATAGCTATACGTCTGGCACTTATGGTAGACTTCAGTTTCCTTTGCAGCCTACACCCGGTTCGGCGATAAGTCAAATGAGTTTTCATATGGACACAGGTAAGCCTAATACCTACGAAGCTGTAAAGTCTGCATCTGAAAATTTAGAAGCACAAGAATTTGCAAAAGCAGCTGCAAAAGCTCAAGAAAGACAACAGCAGCAACAACAATTCTATGGTAATAACTTACAAACTTATTACAATAACAACCATTTATTAGGCACTATTACACCTGGACCTCTTTATGCTAATAATGATAAGCTAAGGAATAAGCACGGCGAAAACTCAAATCTCTATGCTTATAGCAATATTCAAACTGATTTAATTACTGCATCGCCTTATTATTATGCAAATTCAAAGGAGAATAACATAGACCTGAAAACCAAACAACCATTTGACCATGATAAAGCTTTAAAAAATATTGTACCAATTGATGTATCAAATGTAGTTTCAGATTCCCAATCGAAGTCTGTTGCGGATAATAATAATAGACAAAATATAAACAATTTTGGTAAAGATAGCCAACTTGAACAAAATTTAAAACAATACTACAGATCAATTACTGATGCATATTACAAAGACAAAAATTCTATTTACGGTTTTAATATTAAAACAAAACCAGAAGATCTTATAACAAACGAAAATAAACATTTAGATCTCAATAGTTTTTATGCCAAACAGCAACAATTCCAAGAGCCTACTTATAATCAAGGAAGTACGTCAGAGAATAAACGTTACATAGATGGATCATTGAATTCGCCAAATAGTCATTTTTCAGAAAACTCTCAATCATCTCTAAATATTCAGCAACAGCGTCCACTAAATTCAATTACATCTGATGTCTCAAATATATTCAAATTAAATGATATTCCCTATAGATTTTCATCTGGTTTACCTGATGGTGTTAATAACAATAATTTCGAACAAGCAGTAATACCTACACCATTACCAATGAGAATTAATCAAAATGTAGGAAGTCATCAATTGGACGTAGCGACAAATATACTTAATAAATTAATTTTAAACAAGCAACCTTCAGTTAAACTTAATAGACCCGAACTGGATCCACAAGGTGCCAATTTGCTATCTACAATTAATGGTTTCAAAGTAGCAAATCCGTTTAATGTTGATTTGAAGTTAGTAGCAGAAATGTTAAAAGGAAAGCCAGCTCTTGATGAAACTCAGATATTACCTTTAAGAGATCAATTTAGTAAAACTGTACCGCTCAAGTTAGATATATCACAATTACATCAACTTCTATTAAAAAATGATAATAACGCCAATTATGGTTCATTAAATGAAGGCCTTGGTGCATTTGCTAATCCATATATAGACATTTACAATTCTGGTCGGTTTCCGTATCAAGGTGTGAAATACTCTCGCAGTCAAGAAGAAGAGGAAAGCATCATTCCTATAGCAGACTCTTCAAATAATCATCCGATAGGAGCTGTTATTGAACAAATAGATGACATGTCAAGTGATCGTGAAGCGAGTACATTGTCAGATACAGCTGTGATAACAAATTTGGAAGATAGACCAAAAAATATATTTAATCCAGGCTCCAGAATAGGCCATAGGCATCCAAACTCACTTGTTCCAGGGCGTCATTCGTATCAAAGAAAGTATCCCAAATCTAATATTAACGAACCGTATCCTTTACTAAAACCTCCACCTCAGTCTAGAAATAGAGGTGGTCGCAGTAAATATAGTAAACAGTTACGCAGGCGACGTGTTAACAAAACATTAAATCCGCGGATTATGAAAACTGAGCCATTATTCGAGGCTGACGCTGATATTGAGGATGATAACGTATCAACTGTATTGAGACCACCTAATCCAATTTCAGAGGCAAAAATTGAAGAAAAGAATGATGAAGATGAATAAAATTATTTAGTAACTTATTATGAAGCCTCTAGAAATTATATCCCCTATATTAACCAACACGAACTGGACTAACACTTTTAGCTCAGTCATCACTGGTGGTTCAAAATGTTAAATTCATCAAAGAAGTTGTAAATATTCTATTTTTTCCAAATTTCTAAGTCGTATTCATGTATAGAAACGAAATATAGAAATTTATAGATAGAATAGTAAGTAAAATTTGGGACCTGGTTAAAATATCGTATATTAAATAAGCTGCATGCTATTCGGTACAACCTATATTTGTATTCGTATGAAAAGCAAATGAAAGTTTATGACGTTCTAAATTGGACTGCCTTAAATTTCTATAATTCTACTGCATCATATGTAGTAGAATTGATTACTAAAAGAAATGTATTTATTCTTATTTATTCTGATTATTCTACACATATAGATGCTGCTGTTGTTACATATTATGGCATTTACATTATAATAATAGTTATACGAAAATTTATTAAATAGAAATGGAAAATGCATTTACAATAATGAAAACTGTAACATTTTAATTGCGTTTTTCAAAATGTTTAGAGCTTTTTATATGTAAAGTATAGTGTTGTAAATAGTATTAATTTTAGTTTTAGGATACCTCCTTACTTATCTTATGTTATTAACAAATCTTTAATGTATGATTAAGGTGTAAATATTTATAAAATAACTTAATATACATTGTTATTTTGTGATAAGTGATAATTAAGTAAATGTTTGGCACGATCCACTCTATTTGAGTGTATAAATCTACATGTAGGAATATATGTAGTATTTGTTGTTGTTAAATTGTTATTGTTTCGAAAATAAATTAGTAACAAAATTGTTCTATTATCTTTTTATTTATTTTTATTTGAGTTAATATATAAACTACACGTTAAGTCATATTAGTGAAGGTTAGAATGAGATATGCAAAAAAAGAATAAGTATCTACAAATTAAATGCAGTTATACAAATTGAGTTACTGAAATTGTATGTAACTGAAACAGGAATAGTCTGTACAGAAGTTAATGGAACTAGATTCTCTCTGCATTACATGATGGATCTAGCCTGGTAACTGTTGTCATGTGACAGAATTAAAAATATTTGGTGTAAGTAGTTTGGTTTAAAGTAGTTGGGTGTAAAGGTTTTGATTTAAGATTATAACACAAAACGAAAGATTTATACTGATAAAATACAGCATTTGTTTTATATGAGTATGATTTCACGTTAAGAATCTTCAGCGTGATTTCTCTCGAATATAATTCAGACTGGTTCTTCGATTACATTATTTGTAAGTCCAGTAATTTCAAGATAATTGTATTTTCATTCCTTGTATGGATTAAAATTGTGTTATTAAACAATAAATAACATAATAACAGTTCTTGTAGATAATTGTTCTAATGATATCGCATATGATGAGCTAGTATAAAACGTTTGTATATGAGGTGCGTTGCGTGTGATTCGCTTTCTGATCGCAGCGGCCCCATACTTGATCTGACAATATTCTCTGGAGATATTAATGAATGGATCAAATTATGAAACTCCGTTTTTTAGTCATCTTGTGTCATTTACGTATGGTAAAAAACGTTGCAAGATATTATGATTTATACATACATGACTACATTACAGGCATAATAAAAATACAGTGTAAATATGTAGCTTAAAATGGTCTACTGAAATTTAATTCTTATCTATATTTATAGGAGTCCTGACTGTTCAATTTGAATAATATTATCACTTTTAGGCAATATTAAGGTTGCATCTTACAATAGGATATTTAAATGCCATTGAATGACCATTAAAATAGTTTATGCTTATTTATTATTTTACATAATATATTGTACTAAGGTTTTAGTTTCTTAAATGTTTACTACAATGTTTCTTAGCTGGACTCGGCTTTAATGGGCTACTGGCTATGTATTACTCATTCTCCTTTAATATACAATATATATAGTAAATGAATAATTTAAATAAGTAAATGTTGATAACAACTAAATATTCATAATAATAACAATAACTAGTAGATAATCCAAAAATAATATAGATAACAAATTTGACTTGTTTTATGCTAAGAGTGATAGAATAAAAACTCTTTTATAATACTTAACTACTTACTAACTATAATAGAGTTCAGCTTTACTGTTTCTAAGTATACCATAAAAATCTTTGAAAACCACATAGTATTTTTATGGTAATGTAACCCACAAACATATATGTAGAAGCCTATTTTTCGCCTCTAGCTAATTTTTACAATAAAATCTACTATACTATACTTTTCCGGTTATATGATTTTTTAAGGTACTTAAGTACTATCGACATATTCTTAAGTAATATCTCCTACATGGTTTTTCTAGTCCCATTTCCATATTAAACGCCGTTCGTAACTTATTAGGAAACCGTTACAGTATTGGTGATGCGCCTATAATCCTTCATAGCGTTAACTATTAAGTAACAGAACATTGAATTAATTTATTTCCGTTAGAAAAAGATGGAAATATCTAAAACCAGTCAACACACTTTCGTTCTCAATATTGTCACAGTTTGTAGCTTGCGAATGACACTGATATAAATATGAAGAAAAGATACGATCCCACACAATCAAGTGTGGCTTGTTGTTGAGGTAACAAGTTCACTCGGTGGCCAGCGATTAGCTAATCCAAATGGCTGCTTTTGTAAGTTTAACAATCATAAAAAATTCCATTTTCAAATTTAAAAAATGAAAGAATAACTTAAGTTAGATATGTTTTTGATTACAGACAAAGTTAGCACTCTTCGCAGTCCTCGTGAGCAGTAGTCGTGCTGGCATCTTACATGGTCAGGGCCATCATGATCATATTGATGATTACGGCTCGAGCTATTCATCAGGATCACTTAGTGGTTTGGGCGCGTCCAGTGCTATAGATGCTTCATCAAGCTATTCTCCTAGCAGTTTCCCAAGTGGATCTCTTCCATCTGCATCTTACCACGGTTCTAGCATAGGCAGTGGACTTAGTGATATCTCATACGGCGGAGCTGTGAGCGGTGGTCTCATAGGAAGTGGGCATGGAATAGGATTGGGAGGTGGACATGGAATAGGATTGGGAGGTGGACATGGAGTAGCATTAGCTGGTGGTGTAGGATTAGGAGGCCTCGGTGGTATCGGCGGTGCTCCTGCTCCTTTACCAGGCTCTAAAGCACCTGTTATTGATGAAATCCATGGCCTCGCTAACAGTAGAGGAGCCCCGACAAAATACAACGTCCATGAAGAATCCTACAAAGTGTTCAAGGAAGTAACACACAAAGTACCTCAACCCGTGCCAGTGCCAGTACCACATCCCGTCCAAGTGCCAGTACCTCAGCCCTATCCTGTTAAGGTTCCAGTAGTACGCAAGGTCCCAGTACCTGTAGTCAAGATCCAGCACGTGAAAGTCGATAAGCCAGTACCTTACCCAGTGGAGAAAATCATCAAAATTCCAGTGGAAAGAGTAGTTGAAGTACCAGTACCACACCCAGTTCCCATTGAGAAGGTCGTCGAAGTGCCAGTTGTCAAATTAGTGAAGATCCCGGTGCCTGTCGTGAAGTCATACCCAGTACCTGTCTTGAAGACTCTCCACCACAAAGCTCACGCCCACCACCACAGCCACGGCTGGAAGAGCTGGTAGACCTAAGTAACATCTTCTGTTAGACCTAGATCCGGTCTTTTGTAAATAGTCATAGCCAAATAGCTCATCGCGAGGCTGCAATCTAGGGTGTTAAACTAAGTCATTAATTTAGGTGAACATGTTTTCTTTACGATATATATTCGTTTTGTAAATAGTAATATAGGATTTATTACTTTATTAAAACGATTTTCCAAAGAATTTTTTATATTTTATTTATACCTTTTTTATGGAGTGTATGCGCTACACTGAAGAGCTTTTATTATAAGAAATAGAATAATGATTTCATTTCAAAGCTAACCATCTTAATCAAGCATTAAGATTTTCCTAATTTAAGAAAAATCTTAATGCTTGATTAAGATGGTTGACTAATAGACTATAGCAGTAGTAAAGTAATTTTAAATAAATATAATAAAATAACACATATCTTTAAAGAAATTATCAAAAACTATTTAAATACATATACATAAATTAAATTCAGAATACGTAAGTATTAACATTCATGTACAAGATATTGAATTATAAAATATATTCTTGTTCCTTATGATTGGCTGATTATGGCGGAATAAAATTGAAATCGTTACAGGCATATCTAATAACATTTTAGTTTTTTTTTTTCAGTCAAACCGCATTTAGTTTTCGTCGATTTAAAAGGCACCCGAAAAAGCTTAAGCATTACATTGACTTATTTAAGTACAAAAAGCACTATGAATATTATGTTTAGTTCTACAGAAATAAGATTGTAAACTAGAGTAAAGTACATAATACTTAGACAATCAAAGATGACTGCTGTTTTATTTCTATTATCAGAGAGCGCATCATATCACCCTTAAGATATAAATGCGTATCATACATAAACTGCATAGCAGAAATGAGTAATATAATAATCATAATGATGATAACCCTGAACATTTCACACCTCGCCATCCCAAGCTAAGCAAAGCTTGTGTTATGGGTACTGAACGACTGATATATATATACATATATATATATATATATATATATAACCACACACAGACACAAAATAAAAAAAAAGAGAGAATGTAAAATATATATACATATATATATTTGTAAATACATACATAATAACACCCAGACTAATTCAAACAATCATACATAGAAATACCAATGCCTGAACCGTGCGTAATCGAACCCAGGACCATCGAAAGTAAGATGGTGTGCTAACTGCTAGACTGAAACTTTAAAATCAATAATAGTATCCCTACAAAAATTAACTACAAATTACTTTTTAGAGTAAAAATTTATATAATCTATCGATGCAGTTCTTATTTTAAATGAATGGAAAAAGCTGACGCTCTACCTAATGGTAAGTGGTAATCGTCGTCAGAACAGCACCACGGATATTATGTTATCATGTGACGCCCGTGATAGTACTCATGAATTGCCTTTCTAGAGGACTAAGATTTAATTCCATCTATATTGTGTCCGTATGTTGTAATTTCACTGCTATACATTAACTGAAATACATCAGCAAAGGAATCAAGCTGTTTGGATGAATTATTAAACTACTAAAACACACGCCCCGGCTTCGCTCGTATCGTAATATTTGTTTAACTTTTAAACTGTTTGACAATATTGACGCAGTTTTTTTTAGAACTTTTAAAGTAGAACAATTCTGTCACACTCGTTTTTTAGTAACTTTAACCGTTTACACAGAGATAAACTTTACATTTTTTTTTTGCCATATTTTTCATTGCTGCTCCGTTTCTATTAGTCGTAACGTAATGTTATATAGCCATATAGCCTATTCGGGGGTAATATACTTTTCTAAATAGTGAAATATTTTTTTTAAATCAATCATTAGAACCGAATATTATACAGAATAAAGAAACATACAAACTTTATCTCTATGTAATATTAATATAAATTTAACTGATTATACTTTCAGATTTAAAGGTTTATTCGAGAAAATTCTTAAAGTAAGGAGTATTCTATTATTTCTTACTCAAGTATAAGGAATCTAAATATATATAACTCAAAGTTGACTGACGTAGTGATCAATTAACGCACAGCCCAAAACACTGGACGGATCGGGCTGAAATTTGGCATCCCCTGAGAAAGGTTTTTGATAAATTCCACCAAAAAAATAGGGGATGAAAGTTTGTATAAATCTTCTTAGATTTTCGACTGATTGAACTGAAATTAAAGATTGGAGCTACTATGATGAAGACGTCCGCTTAAATAGGATTTTGATAAATTCAACCCCATGGGGATAAAATAAAGAATGATGGAGGATGTAAATGTATTAGTTTGAGCCTATCAGTACCTAATGGAACGAATAAATTAAGACGAACAAAATAATTTTTAGTTCTTAGGCTACATTTATTTTAGAAAAATAACGTTAAATTCCACGCGGACGCATTCGCGGGAACAGCTAGTCATTTTATAAAGGCCATATCACAATATCTAACTAAAAATAGAGAACAGCTATTAAGGTAAAAATTAAATAATACAAATCAAGTTATGCTAATACCGAAATCGGTCATCGTGATCATTTGCATACAAATTCCCACGAGGCCGGAGAAATTAAACGGAGAAACCAAGTTAGTGTTGCGTCTTTATTATAATAACAAATTTGTGTTAATCTAAAGGGATGGGTGACATTACATAAGTATTACTCAAACGTATACAGAACAAGATATAATTAGCTAGTTATAAAATTGGGCTACTGTCGGTTTTATAACATTATATTTCATAATTTATTATACTATAAATTATATTAGGTTTTATTACTAGGTACGTCTGACTACCTTCAATTTTTAGGAGCGTTTTGGATGATCTAAAAAAATATTTTAGGTTTCATTAAATGTTACTGAAACGTATACAGAACAAAATATATTTAGGTAGTTATAAAATTGGGCTACTGTTAGTTTTATAACTCTATATTTCATATTTTATTATACTACAAAATAATATTAGGTTTTATTAGTAGATATGCCTAATTACCTTTAAGTAGCGTATTGGATGATCTTAAAACAATATCTACGACCTCGGTGGTTTAATGGTTTAGCACACCGCCTTGCTTCCCATGGTAGCGGGTTCAATTCCTGGCAAAGTTCAAACTTTGCATTCATGAGTATGATTGTTTGTATTGGTCTGGGCATTTTCTTTTTATAATACGTATGTATTTACAAAAAATATATAGATCTAAGTATTTATATAACACAAGGTCTGCTTAGCTTGAGACTAGATGGCACTGTGCGAATAGTCCAGGGTCATTATTATTATTACATAATCGGCTTGTCGGTTCTTTTGATTGTCGGCTGTACAAATAAAAAACGAATCTATCAAATGATCATAGATCTTAAGAATGGCCACATAGTAACAGTAGTACAGACTACTGAGGTCATCAAATTTATTTAAATGTATGTAAAACATGCGAAAGTTTAAGGCTGCATGTCCCGGCCCGTCCCCATACAAAACGTGATACTATGAAATTTATTTATTGTAATTAATTAAACCCGATGAAATTTTGTACATTATATAAGGCAACTAATAATAACGTTTCACATTAGTCAGATTTTCTTTCAATAAGTTTGTTTTAGAACTACATGTAAGTGAAAAACTCTATTTTAACCAAAGAACGGACCTACCTTTTACTCATTGGTACGAATAATCCAAACAGTCTATAATGGAAAAAATGTGTAATATATTGAAATAATAATGAAAAATATACCTTTTTATTTAATGCTCAATAAAGAGTGAGTCGAGTAGAGCGTCATTATTTACGACAAAATATTCTTTGAAAGTATTGCTATCGCGTTTGTATAAGGATAGACGCAAGGTCTCTGAATAGAGATAGAATGAATACTGAAGAATATTGTAATTCTATTGCGTGGACACGCTCCTCTTAAGTTTCTTCACTTCGTTTCTTTGTGATTTTAAACATCCTACTTTCGTAACCTTTATTATCTTTACACAATATAAAATCATAACAGCGGCAGAAAAGCTGTCTACTTATATGTTTATCTGTTTGTATTTTTGTATAATATATTTATGTTTAATCTTTGACGTAAAAACGGCTGGACGAATTAGAATGAAATTTCTATAGAATACCAACTGTGCCCTCAGTTTCACGCGCGTTTCATATATTATTATTATAAATTTTTGAGTTATTCCAATATATAAGCTACATTATTGTAAAATTTTGTTAAAATCCATTCAGTACTGTTTTAGAAAAAGTGTCATCATGTACTCTAAAGTAATCTTAGGAAAATATCACCCAAATAGATAAATTAGTACCTTTCCTAATTAATTTTAAATATCTCATCTGCAACTGCTAAAATATTTATTACTAGTATGATTGAAGGCATTGTAATAATGATTTCTTATTACTGGTCTCTGGTTATCATCAATAGATGGTGTTTTACAAAACTACAGGCAGACGCTGTCGAGAGCACCTCTAGTTAAACTAAATATTTGTCATAGTTGTTCTATATCAGACCAGAGGAAGATTTCGTACAAAGTATTCAGCGTCATCTAATTTTACCGCAAAAATTACTTAGGAAGATGTGTAAAGGGTGAGATAGGGTAGTAAAATTATTTGTTACGTAGGCATGAGGACTAAGTTGTTAACTTAGTCCTAAGAAACGACATGTATTAGAGGTACCACTGGCATCACCCTGTATTTTATGATGCTGTTTCTGTATATACAAATATGAAATTGATAAGCGTGATCGTAAACATAGATTAATTGCCGTGCACCCAGAGTAGGACCTTGCAGGAGTCTACTTAATGAGGTATCTGTAATTTTTCCACTTGACATATTTAACTGTATTGCCACAGAGTTTCACAAAGCGGTAAAAAGTTTTGTAGAATCACTACCGAATATACAACGGACTGTATTAAGAATTGTTCGATCTAAGTGGAACCTAAGTAGTATGGAATACTGCGGTTCCAGAGGAGCTTCCTCTCACGTACACTTAGATTGTGGTATGAATCATCTGCCTAGGTTTTCTCTAGAGACAACAGTATGGAGTTTTCCAAGAACGGTATATTAAGGTTTCCTAAGGGTCGGTAACACGCACGTAACACTCCTAGGCTTCAAGCGTACATTGACTAAAATAATCGTTTATTAGACGGGCCGTATGCTTGATTGCCACCGTGATAATATATAAAAATCTTAAAAAGATAGAACAATTTACAAGTTCATAAATTTTGAACCAACTAACGTTGTATTATATAGTTTAAAATTATATTATATGGCTTGCATAATCTTAGAAAACGGCCAGTGTATCGAGATCAACCATTTACATATTGTCATATGTTTTAGCAGTTATGACGCTATTGAACTACGGCGACATCCGTTAAAATTTAGTTTAAATTATTCATATTAGTTATATCGAAAGAGAACTTTGATTTGGTATAAATACACCGTGTCGTGACGGTATGAACACACAAACAACTCAACCTCGAAAGGGTACACAACAGCTTTTCTTTGGCTGGCTTATAAGCGATTAGCTAAAAGCCATGAAGTTTGTTGTAAGTTCATGACATCTTAAACATATTATAACAATTATTTTTGAAAAAAGAATCATTTATTTTAATTGACATAAATTAAACCGTACAGTTTATCAAACAATAATGAATTCTATTTGTTACAGGTTAGGGCACTGTTTTTGTCAGCTGCCGCATGCGCTGTTCATGCGGGACTATTGTCTGGTGGTCATCACGGACAGGACTCCTACGTCTCCTCAGCTCTTAGTGCCCCGTCTGCCTCATATGGAACACCATCAACTGTATACGGACCTCCTGCTTTGAACGATGCCAGTTTAGGAGATCTGGGTCACGTGTCTGGCGGTCTTGAAGGAGGAGTAATTTCGGATGACCATGCCTTAGACCATGGACACGGACTTGGCGGTTCAGGAATATTGGGTGGTTCCGGCCTTGATGCTGGATATTCCGATGCTGGTATACCTTCTGGTGTTCCTCTTGGAGACGATGGCCTAGGCTCTGGATTAGCAGGACCTTTGCCAGCTGCTCTTTCTGCTGGCCAGTACGGAGCTGGAGCGGCATTAGGAGGAGCAGCTCTTCAATCTCCTAGAGTCATCGGCACTACTGTTTCAGTAGGACGACCAAACGTTCAGGCTTCACAGTACGAACTCCAATCCGTTGTGCAGAATGTTGTACGTCGCGTCCCAATCATAGTAACACGCCACGTCAAAGTGGCTGTGCCACAGCCTGTCCCCGTACCTGTACCTCAGGAAGTCAAAGTACCAGTACCTCAACCTTATCCAGTGCATGTTGATGTTGTCAAACACGTGCCATACCCCGTATACAAGACCGAACACGTCGAGGTAGAGAGGCCAGTCCCATACGAAGTGGTGAAGAAAGTGCCAGTGGAAGTGATCAGGAAGGTGCCAGTGCCAGTTGAAAAGCCCTATGAGGTCATCAAGAAAGTGCACGTTCCCATTGAGAAGCACGTAGAAGTACCCGTGCCGGTCTGGAAACCATACCCTATTCATATCATCAAGCATGTCACTCATTACAAAAAGAAGCATTGCTGCTGGTGAAGTAATAGAGATGAGTCGTGATGATACCAAATAGTCTATAGATATGTAAATATTGATAGTCATTAGATGTACGTGTAAATAGATTAAAAAAAATACCTCACTTGAAAACTAATCTTTTATTGATTTCATTAATGACTTGATAGCTATGTAGAGCTGTCATTGCGATGCCCTCAGACTAAAGTTATGATACAGAAGGAAATAGCCCAGGCTTGGAATGCCCTCTGCACTTGCCTCCATTTTAATTATGTGCCTATAAATCTGTAAAGGCTAACTGTGATATACAAAATTACAATACTCAAAAAAATAATTTATGAACACTCTTTCAAATATTGACTCAAAAATATCAACAATATTAGAATAATTTATTTATTCAGATATTTGTTGTCTTTTATTTTACAACAACAAAACTTTTAACGTTTTTACGTGGCAGTTATAGTTAACACTATACGTTATTTTTAATCATATTTGGTTGTTTAAAAATAAGACCTAAATAAAAATATATAACTTCAGTAATTCGTAATGATTCAATAAAGAATCAATTTCAAAAAAATAAAAAATTAATATCATTATAGTTACTTATTATCTCTCTAGTTATTAAAATAAAAGTCGAGATTATATTTTGCCATTTAAAAAGTAGGTAACTTGATTCAAAACCATTTAAAGCTAAATTGTGACACACAGGTGTTCACCACATTGTTTCCATAACGAGCAATTTGACCTAAAACTAGATATTTTCGGATGACACCTATTAAATATTCAAAGATATATTTGATGATATAATAATCTAGTCACTAATAACTATAAGAGTTGCGTAACAAATCGGTCACACACTAATGAGTTTTTATGATAAATATATAAGTTCCTTTGCATCACAGTTACTTCTTATGTATCATTATATTTCGCCTAATTTACATGATATCTTTGTAAATTATGGCCTATGTATTATTTTCATTTATAATCTATAGTACTTACAGTTTCATAAAAATCCATTAAGTAGTTTTTGCGTGAAAGAGTAACAAATATCCAAGGTATAGTAATGGAAACTTTATTATGTAGGTAATATTATCTTATCTGTGCCTCTACTGAGGTAAGCTTTGTAAGAGGTCGTTGCTCTATGGATATCTCAATCTGATCCATTTAAGTCGCCAAACATTTGTACTCAAAATTGTATACACGGCGAACTTAATTATTATTATTTCATTTATTTTTAGAATAGAATAGAATAGAATAGAAATGTTTCGCATATGTATCCATATTATGTTAGTCAACAACTTTTAAACTATGTTAGTAAATTACAATTTTATACATTTAATTCATATATTTATATTTATGTCTATGTCCACGACCAGAAGCCCTGGGTCCGCAGCAATGCAGCGATATCCAGTGCCTCTGAAGTGGACAATCCGACATATTGTATATGGTGTTTAGGAGGCTGTTTGCGCTCCCCCGAATTCTACACATCAGTGATGCAGTTCTATTTCGCATTATGGCTTCAAAACCTTCTATCCGCGCTGCTGCAAACATATCTGATACTACTATACTTAATGCCTGGTAGTATTCTTTACCAGTTAACATTCGCACTGATCAGAGATATTATTGCTTTGTTGTGTTTCGGTTGAGGTATGATATAGGCATCCTCTATAGTAGGTGCACTAGGTACACATTATAATTATTGCTATTGAAAACATAAAAAAAAACTAGTGTGTGTGCAATAATTAAAAGAATATTTTTTTTGTTTTGATATTGAATTTTATTAGTATATTTAAAATTATTTATTTAAGTTTATTCATTCAACAATGTCCGCAGTCACATTAGATAGAAAAAAAAATATACAATTTTATATTCACATATAATTCCTAATCGTATTTTTGTAATTAAATTACTTTAACCACTAATTATCTGATAGTTTCGCCAGGCGCATACAGGGAAAATATAATCTTGTATAAACAATCAAATACCAAATTCTCTTTGTAGTAACAAGTAAGAATGTGTAATATTCTTTTTTTCAGTAACTATGATCTGTGGTGTCCAGTTTTTTTAATGGGTGATAATGTGAATGGTTTGGTTTAACGTTAATCCATATTTAAAAAAACTCGTATTTATTTTTATATAGTTAATTTGTTGTAACGCATTTTTGCTAAATTGTATATGTAGGCGTTATCCCAAGATATATGTTATCTAGAAGTTTCACAGCTTATTAATAAACATATACTGTTGTACGAAATATCATCGTACATTATTTCACAACATTAATATATAATTTTACATTTAATATTTCACCAATAATCAGTTCGAATTTTGTCATTAAGAACACCGCGGGTACTCTTTTACCATTAAGCAGTTTTAATTATTAGTAGGTATATTTTTTATTAATACATATAATCTTTTATAGTTTCTGCACAACCCCAACAACTGTCTTCTATCGACATAGGGTTTAGAATGCCAGATATAGTATAAAGTCGTAGTCATGTTGATTCTTCTGTTTCATTAGAAGTTCATAACAGGATCGACTTCAATTATCATAAACCATCATGGGTAATTTACCAGGATGGTCTGTAGAGAACTAGACCTAATCTATAATATTCGTTTGGTACCCCACCAGGATATACCATATATGTCAATTAAAAAAAAACACTATTTCATCTATATAATGCGTTAAGCAGCTGATTTGCTAGTTGGTATTTAGTAGGCAGTAGACATATAGGTAGACCTTACTTGTATGGGGTATCCGTTCTTAATAGTGGGACGTTAACAAGTTGTTACAACACTTAGTGTAATTTTTTAATGTGTTCAGATTTAAGGCAAATTCCAATTGTTTATTAAAGTAGAGTCGGGACTCATAATAGAATTTAGTGTGTTTTGCTAATGTACTCACCTTTAAACGAATTGTTAGCTTTCGATACTATAAAATGTATTTTCTTACGTAATTACCAAATAATACTTACTAGGTAATTCTAAATTACATGAAAGACTTTATAAAATAGCGGCTTAGCTCAGCTTCCGGAGATCTTAGGTTAATGCGTTTTAATGTTGGTATTTATATTAGTGGTTTTTTGTATTGTCTTTGCCAAGTTTTCAAATCACGAGAAACTGATATCAATCGCATTTAAAAAAATAACTCATAATACAACAGTCAGATCTTGATCAAACTTATATTAGACTAAATCAAGAAGCTCCAGCAATCAATGAAAAAAAATGAAACTGCTTTACCTAGAAAAGAGTTCTTAATAACACATAAAAAAATTACTTGCAAATTATTAGTTTTCTTCATTTCTTTAAGTCGTTCGTGATAATAAAACACATAAGCAGTTAAATTTGAATTTAATGAATTCAATATCGACGTGCCTCATGGTCTAAAGCTGTTTAATAATCAGGAGATGATTCCGAATGCATGAGGTGTGTATAAAACTGTGTTGTGGTGTGTTATATATAACACAAAGCGATCAGGCCGCGTGCTTGCTGGTTGCTACAATCTGCCATGGATTTTAAAGTAAGTATCAAATATTGTATATAATGAAGTATATTTATAACACTCAAACACTGTTTGATTCAGTTTTTAATATTGTAAGCATTCTTAATACTGTATGGCTTAGTAGTTTCTAGTAAACTACTACGCTTTGATTTATGGAATCCAAAGGTACCGAATTTGAATCTGCGCGATACCAAAAATTTTATGTCAATGTTGTGTCAATTACTTTATATTTAACTGACTCTCCGGATGTTCATAAGACGGAAACATCGATAACAGACCTAAAAATCCTTAATAGTAAGGTCAGATATAGTGAAATGAGGGTATGCTAATGTGGATTAACCAATACCTCAACAGTTGAAAATTTTTCCGACTATTATATATATTTTAATTCTATGTAACTTTTTATTTCTGCAGGGGTGGTTCACTGTAACGGCTTTGGTGTTTTCCACAGCATGGGCTAGTATTGATGATGTGGGCCCTCAAACATTCCAGTCTAGTGATTCGTCAAAATCACAATCACCACAATATGAGATGAGAGAAGTAATCTTATATTTAACACCTAGTGAAATAAAGGCTCTAGAATCAGGACAAGGAGTATTACAACCTCTACCTGTAACTCAGTCTGACTTTTCTAACAACAATCAAGAAAAATATGGTTTAAGTCAGTTATCTTTAGATGTTGATTATGGCAATGAGTTTAGAGAAGAATTAAAATATCAAAAAGATATTCAGAATGAAAATATAGCTAACATATTTGAAAAACAGCGACAAAACATACAACCTCCACCTGTAGAAGAACCTGATGCAGAAACCCCTTTGGAACCTGCTCCACAAATTCTGTGGTCCACCGGCCTACAAGGAGATGATAAATCGTACAATCGTATAACACAACAACCTGTGCCATTGGAATATCCACAGAGTCACTCTTATTTCAATTTATACAATAAGAAAAAATCAGAGCATAATTTTAACATAGAAATATTTCATCCACTCCCACATGACATTAAAGAATTAGAATCTAAACAACTTAATATACAGACAGATCCTATATTAAACAAAAATTTTAAATTCATTCCAAATGAATACGTCAGGCAAATTAACCCAGAATTCACGCAAGTGGAAGATCATACAAACGAACAATTCCTATATCCACTTGACGATAGGAGTACCGGTAGTGAGACTCGCCTGTCTTCTTTTCCAGAACATTCTGATCAAAGTATTCCATCTTTGAATAGTCCAAATCAAAAACAAACTTTACAAAGTCTTGAAGAAGAATTGCTTAATTGGAATTATGCTCCTAGGTATAACGATCATAAAAGAGCTGTTGAATCACAAAAACATATATCATCCTGGAAAAGAGAAAATACTCATAATGACGCTGAAAATGAAAAGTTATCATTTCATACGGTTGCTAATAAGGAAGGTAAATCACCTATCAAAATTGTTAAACTCAAGTATAGTTATATTAAATCTGCCAAAGTTCCTCAAAGACACTTGAAGCGTGGGCGACAACCTATAAAAGTGAAAA